TATATATATATATATATATGTCTCATTCTAGGTCGTCAGCGTAATAATTCCTAACTGGACATTATCGCATCCATGACGGTGTTAGCAATTTTTTTCTTTCCCAGCGTCTTAACGTTCTTACAATCTTCACACGCGGAGCCCCCTTTTATCACTTCCATGGATCTTCCAGTCTCATTACATCGTTTCGCAATAGAACTTAAACGCGTCCCGTCGTCACGATAAACAAAACGCTAATCAGTGATGTCGGAAATTAGTTTTTACGAGATCATTCATTGTCGTCTGTCGCGAAACGGAAATAATTGGGAGCGTAGGGGAGTTAAATTAATATTCTAACGGCGAAAGAGCAACTTACAATATTTCCGGCGCACAACGCGCCGATTTAATTACGCAAATAGGGGAGGGACGAGAGAGAATGCGATATCCCGCGTATTCCAATAACTCGTCATTGGCCCGATCAAATTTACTGCCGCGCGTGTGTATCGATGCCGCCGCGAAACCGCGAACGTATGTTGCTATGAGCAAAATTCAATACCGCCCAACCACGGGGAGAGCCGTTTGGTGAACCCGTATTTATCCCGTCGACGCTGAGCCTTGCCTTGCTTTGCCTTGCCTTGCCTCGTCTTACCTTGCCTCGCCTCGCCTTACCTCGCCCTGCTTCGTAAATGCAGCACGAGTTGCCTGTAACCGGCTTGCTAACGCGATTCTCGCTCGTATATGGGTTAAGGCGCGTGAGTACGGTACCGACTTTCGCGTAAAAGCGAAACGCCCTTACGGGCTCGTGGCACGAGCCCGACTTCGCGTAGTAAGCTCTTAGCATGCAAGCGCGAGTACGGGGAGACCATGCACACGACTCGCTCGTATATTTCACCAACGCTAACTTTCGTGCCGTTATGTTGGTCGTTATTCGTGTGCATTCGTGGCCGCTAAACTTGTACGTCGAATCGTACCGTAATAATGTATCCAAAGAAGATATCTTAACCACTTTTGGGTATCTCTGTCCCTTGACTTTCCTTTATTTATTCCGCATCGCTCTTCTGGCGATCTGAAGGATATCTCCGATTTCGTTTCACATTTCTCCGATTTTTATTACAATCAGTAAAATTATGCATAAGCGATTACGTCGGTTTTCGAATCAGAGATGAATACTATGTAGAAATTATAAATTATAGGTGGAAAAACTCGAATAATGTTCAAAAATTTTCGTATAAAATTTACACCGTGTAACACAGATGCAGTCAGACAATTATAAAAAAAAGAATAGACAGACAAAGCTCTTTCATATTAAATTCATATGCTTTCCATTATCTCTTTTGAATATTTTCTATTTTTCTCATTCAATGTGTTTTTTCATAGAATTTTCTTGACAGTTTTATTCATGTCACGCCAACCTTTCCTTCATTATTTTTAAACGTCCGACAATATCGGAATTTTAACGAAGTAATACTCGTATACGCTGCAGCAAGAATCTTTTTATAGGACGAGTAAATGAAAGAATCTCTCACAACCATCTATATATTGATTCTCAAGTATTTAAAAGGCAAACACACATACATAGCAAGAAATAGAAAATACAATATATCATTGTATCGCGCGACTGAGAGAAGAATTTAATTTTATCGGATTGCAAGTGGTATAAAATAGAACATTGGATAATAAACAATTCGTGTAACGTATCATGTGTTTACGGAATTTATATATGTATTTAATAATAATTATTAGCTACAGTAATGAGAGACAGGGATTAAATGAAGTCTATTTACACGATAGATTAGGTTCCCCTAAAATGTTCTGACAAATATTTTATTTTCCCGCAAAATTATTTTTAAACGTTAAGTCATCGAATAAACCGATACAATAGCCAGAGCTTTTATTCGATATTGAGCAATCGATGAAATTCCAGATATAACACGATGGAAAATAGATCGAGCAATTTTGTTCGAGGTATTTCGCTCAGAAATTACATCAGGAATAATATGCAACGTCGATTGTACGATTGCTAAACGTAGGCTCGTACGGCCATCGGGAAGATAAGTCGCAAGTTGCATCAGCAGCGTATGAATATCGTCATAATCGAGGATCTGCCGGCGATTTTCTTGGCTACTCCTGTCTGCCGATCTCCCGAATAAGAACATCTGACGTCGCGCCAGGAAGTGATCTTCGTAACTGTCGAAACTGAAAGTTCCCAAGGAGATCGCGGGAATGCAGCAGAGATGAGAGGAGGACGATCAAAGTCACGTCTGTTAAGTTTCGAAAAGGAGTCAATTAAAAGTTCCAGGAACTTGTCTCTTCCGTGCCGTGCATACGGATTTTCTACGGCGAGGTAGCATTCTGGAATTTTTCACTTCGCCGGTTATTACGGTACGGCGAATCCTCGTCTCGAATCCGCGAACGAATCGAATATAATGCGCCACAGTCGGATTTTCAGTCGCTTGCTTCTCAGAATTTACCTCACTTTCGACGGTTCTGCGGAATTGAATTTTGCGAGAAGAAAGTGGCCAAACGCGAGCAAAAAAGGATACGAGAGGAATTTGAGTCTCCCCGTACACTGCACTTGTTGCCGTTGGAGCAATTTTGAAAAAGTATCCTGCTTTTTCAAACATAACGTGAATTCCATGCTACGTGGAAAACAACGGTGTCTTGAATCTCAAAGAAGCAACGTAAAAACTACTCCTACGTGCCTGGACTAGCTGGCACGGCTCCCGACATCCTGGGAAAACTTTTAAATTGCGCGTCACCTCATTTTCAACTCCGCGTGGGCCTCTTCCGCGATTTTGGCGAATCTGGAGATGTTTCGAGCAAAGATATCTGAGAGATATCTTTTCTCTGGAGAAGAGCACGATTGCTTGCGGAAACGACAATATACGAAGGAAAATTTCGATATACGTTGCAAAATATTTCATTTAAATTCTAATCATATTTAATAAAAGGGACGTATTTAATAAAAAATAACTAACCTATTATTTATATTATTTTTTAGAAAAAAAATAAAAAGCTAATAAATGAAAAGTATGAAATGACATTTCGCATTTGTGATAATTTTTGTTATGATTTACATAGTGTTTTCACATATAAATTTATACTCACAGACAGGACGCATACATACGCATATGTGAACTAAAATGAGGACTGCTCAGAATCAGATTCATTTCTCTTTATTATAATGAGTCAACAGTTTAATTACAGAAGTTTGTATAAGGTCCGATTGCACTAACGTTACTTTAACGTTAAGTGAGGCTTAAAACTCTTTCTGTCTCGCTTTAAAGCAAAAGAGAGACAGACACACAGAGAATTTTAAGCCTTGCTTAAAGTCAAAGTAACATTGATGCAACTGGGCCTAAGAAACACACATTATATGAAATTTTCTATTAAGGTTGAGAGGTAACTCATTATCTGTAACGAAGTACAGTAAGAGTCATTTTTTAGTAAATTGTAACTAACTTTCTTTTTTCCACTTATATCTCTGTAACTTACTTAAGTTACATTTATTGGTAATAACTAAGTTAATAGGTACTTTATAGTGTTTAATATTAATCAATATAAACGTAGTTTAAAATGAAACATGAAATAGACAAAATACAATATACCTATTTTTAAATTAAAACGCATTTCGAAAAAGAAAAATTTTACTGAATAAAAACAAAATCCATTTTAAAGCTAAAAAATCTTTAAAATAGCCATTTGGCTCTTTAACATAATAAGTGTAATGTAAAAAAAAATAAAAATTACAAAAAAATAAATACATTAAAAATAACTACGTTAATATTAATCAATATAAACTACGCGAAACTTAAATAAATACTGATTAGTTTTGAAAAAAATTGCGCATTTAAAGAGATAGGGATTGAGAAACAGAAAATAGAAATTTTAATCTTTCGGAAATTATGTTTTATTGGATTACACAGTGTCTGATAGATTAAAATTCTGATTTTCTGTTCCCTATTTCTTTGATTGCGCGCAGTATCAATACACATATATTGAATATTTGATTAAAATTTATAATTTGTGTGTATGTTATAATAGTAAATTTTGAATATTTTTATTCGTTCTACATTTATAATGCTTAGAAGTGCAAATCATATTTGACGACATGCACCAAAAATCTGTTTAATACATTTTTTAGTTTGTTTAATAAATCTTTTCAGTTTTATTTGAGTATATTTGTTTGCGTTACATTTTCTTTAATTAACATTGATTATTTTACTACTATAATTTTATATTTTTCAGTACGTTAATTAATTTTTTAATTTATACGGAGTATACATTAAAATCTGATATAAAATAATCTCACATCCAATGGAATTTATCTTCTTTTTTTTGTTCTATTGTTAATTTGTGTGAATGTGTCTTCATCAAGTGTTTATGTAAAACAGCTAAGGATGGATTCTTATACAATATATAATAAATTTTGCATTACAATGATTACATCTTGCCTTATTACTACTTGTTAATTTTGTGTAATGTTCACGTATCCAACGACGAACTGGGATTTGAATGTCCTCTGCTTCTTGTTCTGCCATTATAACATTTTGTAAGGAATATTAATAACTAATCACAAAAGGTACAGATATAACGATATAAAGAATCATTTGCGAAAACTGTTTATAGATGTTTAAAGACAAAGTACATATGATTCTTTGATGGAATACATATAAATATTGATGTTTGTATTTTTGAATCTGTTTGACAAAGCCTTAACAGATCTATTTTTATAACTTTTATATTACAGTATCTAACATCTTATATTTTATTAATATTATATTAAGTAACAGTATTTTTATTCCGAAACGTTTTTTCAATCGAATTTTAATATTTTGTTATTTTAGACAACACTAATTAATCCACAAAACACAATGTAACATATAATATAATATGAAATAGCAATTCATTTATGGAAGCACAAAAAGTATTATGTACTCTCTAAATCTTTTGGTGAAAATTCTTTTAATTTAAAAAAAAAGTGCATTAATACTTCTTATTTTTGATTAAACAAAAAGTGGCATATTTTCACTATTTTGAAGTAAATTTTCTTTTAAAGTGAGATTTATTTCAAAAAAATAAAATATCATTTTTTTTTTAAATGAGACTTTATTCTTTAATTTTTACTCCAAACGAGTAAAATTCTATTTAAGAAGAATGAAATCTCATTTTTCTTAAAAAGTGAAAATGTTTTTTTTTAAACTAGCTCAATTTTCAGTCTTTTTGAATGAAATTTTACTTCAAAAAATTTAAAGAGTATATTTAACACGATTTAATTTTATAAAATATTAAATACTTATTTTGAGATGATAATTTACCAACATTTTACAGACGCTTTAGTATTTATTATTACGGTGTCTCCGTTGTGCTTAGCGCTGTGCATAAGCAAGATCGTACCACTACTACTTTCATTCATTTAATAAAACTTGAGTTGGCAGGTGTAGCGCAAACTGTTGTGTATCGTCGTGCATTACCTCTTGAAACGTGGTCGCGACAAGTGCTTGAAGATATACATCGTAATAATACTTCACGCTTATTAGAGTAAGCGATTGCTAACTCGCATAATTAAAGTTCCATAAACGAATTAAGATGACTGCTCATTGCAAAGCAGATATTTTATTTAATAGAAATTAGAAAGACAGAAAAATAGGAATTATTTAATTATTTTTTTTACTATATTTATGGATAATAACAACCATATGTTTTTAATAATATTTAGTAATATATATATTTTTTTTTTCATAAAATAATTTTTTTAACAACGTTTTGATTTGAATACATCCATTGTATTGAACTTTGAATTTTTGATTTAAATATAATTTACAATTGACAATGTGAAATATACGAATAAAGAGAAAAAAATGGTATTACATCGTATATTGATAACTGGTTTAAAATACAAAGAAAAGAACATTTAACAAATTTATTTCACATTTTGTAAAATATTTCATGTTGATGATACTGACTTGTATACGGCTCTGTGGTATTTGTTTTGGTATGTCAAACCACCGTTCTGATTCACGCAACGAATTTCGAGTTGACAGTTAACGCATATTGTTCTGTATCTCTTCGCATTTCTGTATCTCATCGAAATGCCTATCAAGTATCTAGAAGATATCAAACGCGATTACTTACTAACAATTAATTATATAGTGTGCGCGATTAATTACCTTTTACGGTTAATAATTGCAAATTCGTTGAATATTTGAAGAAATAAATAGTTTGCACAATTTATTCGTTTCACAGAATCGAATTGATTGAATTTCTTTTACAGAATCGAACGGATGGGAATTATAAATTATTATTATATCGCGATATTTATACAGACTGTAATTTCTTTAATGGTTATCTTACAATGAAATTTCTTTAAATAATTTTTTTGTGATATAATCGTTACTTATCATTTTTAGATTGAAGCAGGAAGTTTGCCGCAGATCAAGTGATTTAAACATTAGAAAATGATACATTGACTGTTAATTAATAATACGTATATCTCATTAAATTTGCACGTTGGAAATATATTTTGACTTTATTTATAATCACCATATCATACCATATCGCACAGTATTAACGATATCGAAATGGTGTTTAATTAATAAGTACGATCGTAATTAGATCCTTATTTTAATATTTTTCAACCGCATAATATTGATTCAGCATGGTTTATTAAAATCCTGGCTATTCCACATTTCGTTCAATTTTGTGAGAATTGCAGATATCGAAAATCATAGAGCTTCGTATTTTTTCTTTGCATTATTTTTGCGGTCGGATTATTTAAATCGGATTCCGTCACAATGTACAATAATAAAATCCGCGTTGCATGTGACATTATAAATGACATGCAAAATGCTCTGTAATTATCTTATTCTAATGACAATTATATAATTAACCGTGTTTTCGAGAGTGTTATATTACACGAGTGTATCGAACGTTTTTGAGAGAAAAAAATAATTGAAAAACATCAAGCGGTGGCAGAGCCAACCGTATGGTGTGTAGAAGTAAATTATTATTTTTTATTTCATTTGCATAACAGTCCAATAATAGTCTCTTCGCTTATGTGATATTACGGAATATTTTACAAAAATTACATAATATTTTAATTTTACGTGAAGAAATAATTGTTGCTTTTCTTTATAATCAATTACATATAACTTGATTGATTTCTAATCATCAAAATGTGACTATTGAATTATCTGTGATATTCATTACTGATTCTTATTCCAAGTCTGTTTTAAACAATATCTTAAAATGCTAATACAATTCTGTGATTGGTTTATATATACCATCATAAGACTGTAGGTCTTAAATACTTAAGCTGGTCTTAAATATAAGAATCGACTATGAATTCCGACCTATGAATCTTTATTGTGATTTATTTCACCTTTACACTTTTCGTAAGATGTACTTAATAATTATAGATAGAGGCTTTAAAGATGTAGCGACATTCACATATTCACGGTGTCTGAAAAGGTGATATATGTATTTTGTTCGCAATCTGTCTTCAGCTCCAGCTAGGAAGGATGCGGAGATCAAAATGAGATACTCACGGGAATTTAATATTTTTCGCATCCAGGCAACAGCCGTGAAGCGACAGCACTCGTCATCGCCACAAAACTCCTTTCGCACAACTGCGTTTGTCGTCGTCGCGATGGCGAAACGAGCGTCATACGTGCAAATTGAAACACGCTCCGCCAGTCTTAATTAAGTCGCTTGCAATCAGGCGATGCGAGCTCGCAACAGCCACTGACTACGTTTACACAGTCACCCTTAATCGGATTTAATATCCGATTAGAAACATCCTTAGTTAGAAACTAATCAATCACAGTCATTTCATTCTTCAGAGGAGTAGCTGATGATTGGTCAGTTTTATAACTACAGATGTTATTAAATCCGATTAAGGATTTAAGCTGTGCAAACATGATCATTGTCACGACAAATATGATCGCAGTTGCCATCGGATCTCGAAAAGTGCACGCATATTTTAATGCAGCAGCAGTAGATATGCTGTAACTGCCTCAAGCTGCGTGGCTCGATGACAGCACGCGAGTGGTTTTTTAAAGCGTAAGATACCGACTTTGGTGCTGCGACAACCACATGACTCGGAACCACCGGAAGTATCAAACGCAGCGATCTCATTATCTACCTATCATATCTGCTTCGCTTTCATCATGCGAGATATAATTAAGCAAAGAGTCGACTCATTAAAATTGTCGCTTTATAATTATCATTACTCGCCCCTCGACGAGTGTCTTTCTCGTTAGCTCTCAGAGGTAAAGGGAAACGTTGCTCTTTGCGTTTGATGCACGTAATGACCGACTACACGTTTGTTTCTAATCATACCTGCGTAAATCGCGTCAGTATCTAACAGTATGTTTAAGTAAGGTTCTTTTCCAATTAGTGTTATTGTTTAATTTAAATAAAACTTAGTATACACGATGAGTCGCTATTCGTGTCCTAAGATAATTTTCATCACTTTTACCAAAATTATATTAAATGATTCTCACGTATACTTTAACATCTTTAGAAAATATTCATATCATTATGTATTTAAAAAAAAGTTGTACGTAAATATTATCAATTGATGACTCGGTACTCGTAATATTTAAAAAAAAAAAGAAATGCACTGAACTTGAATGCTTAATCGCGTGTACTAGGAATGAATTTGATAAAATTGTAATAAGCATTTAGTAAATATCGTGTCAATGTGTTTCAAAATCTCAAATTTGTATAAAGTGAATCATACAGGACAGGAAGTACAAGTTTCGTCTTTCATGTAACCGACTTGTTTTCGAGAGTCCGCAGCCAGAGCGGAAATCCCCTCGACCACGCAATAGTCCGTCCAAATAACATACCCCGCACGTAGCTAAACCCTTAATTAGCCCCTTCCATAGTTTGCAAAATCACTCAAGAGTCGGATTAGTTCCGCGACACACCCGGCAACCTTAAAATGAATTTCTACGGAAGTTGTAGGCGTGCCAGTGGAACCGATAGTAGGACCAGCCGGTGTTCGCGCGGTCGTTTGCGTGCGTCTTCTAACCAGAAGCCCCAAATAAAACCTTCGATATCTGTATGCGGGGTGCGTGTCTATCGTGGCTCGTGCTGATTGTCGCGTCCTGCTAGCCTTCAGATTGCGAGGGCGGAGAATGAGAGGGTGAGAGGAGACAGAGATAGGTGCCGATGGTAGGGAATGGTGAGCGAGCGCGAAGGGGGAATCGCTTGTATCTGTATCGGGGGAATGGTTTGTATGTTTCTGCCGGCCGTTCAGGGATGGCTTGCAAACAAACCGCGTTCTGTTATTTGATTCCTGTCCGTTCGTCCGGCGCGGCGCGTCACGCTATTCGGCGCGTCGATTTCGCGCGTACCTTTCCCAGTTGGATGTATCGGATAGAGTATTTCGCCGCGACCAACACAACACATTTCGCGACAGCGAAATACTCTATCGAACTTAAATTTTGATACAGAATAAAATCGGTAACGAATTCCAGCCATTTTCTGCTCGATGTAGCCGTGGAATTTTTAGATGTACTATACAATTACGTCTGGTCTTTTAGAATGCGGTAGGGAAGAGCTTAGGAGAATCGGGAATGTTAAATCGAGATAAAACAGCTCACGAAATCTGATTTAGCTGTGCGAATCGAGCTTTTGTAGCGGTTCAGCTGTAGAGCAATTCAGTGCGATTCGCATATTTAATTACGAAAGTTCTGTTTTTAATTACGAAGCTATGCTGTTTAATTATAAAAGTTCATTGTTTCTTTGACGCGCTGCGCAGTCTCTGAATTGGCGAGCTATAGAAACTATCGCATAACACAGTTTCTACAAACAATCAATGTCTATAGACATGAAATGTAAACAGTTACACTGATGGATATGTAGATGTGTGATCAGCGCAAACCAACCTAACTAATTAAGGTACAGATATAACGCGTAATGTACTACTAGTACAGCCATTTCGTAACGTTAATTACACCATTTATTTACCTAATTTGTTGTCATTAATTAGATGGAATCCTTGATAAGCCATATCCTATTTATAAAATATACCTAATAATCTCACATCGGCCGAATTAATCGAATCGAACACTAATGTCCAATACGTGACAATATCCATATAAAATGCATAAACAATCGATCGAATATTAAAAACATTGAAGTAAAATGTCCTCTGCAAAATAAATTTAAAATGCAAAACTTGCTATGAAATAATCATTAATTCTTTATTAAATAATTTTCAAATTTATCACAGCGTAATCAATCATGGATATTTATCCGTGAATATTGATTTAAACTGATTTTTATACTTCCCGAGCGATAATACACTTCTCCGCGTGTTATTCGACGCGTCACAAAGTCGTCGAGAATCTGCGCGCTTGGAAGGCATAGAAATCTGATCCTCATGGGCGTCACAGTGGAATTCATGGTTTTGCTCTCGATAGCAGTACGAGCTGTACCTGGCGGCGAGTCGACCGCGATCTCATTTATCTTCAGACGGAATGCGGCTGCGCCTAGGGCTAATAAGGTGTTATTAATGTCGTCACGCCATAGCTATCCAACTGCGTCCTAACTTTGCAAACTATTCTCCGCCGGCGGCTCGCTGCCATTCTCGCGTATCCCTGCTTCATTTACCTGACAGTTCGGGTAACCCTACCTGTCTATCTCTCCGCTCCAGCCCGATAGACGCTGTCATTCCCATCGAAATGTACCTGCACCCCGGAAAAACGACGTTGCGTAATTATCACGATTACATGACGCACTGTGATATCACACCATTAAATACGCGAGATACGCGTATTTAAAATGTCACAGGAAGAGACATATTTGATATTTTTGCAAAATCATTTAACATTATAATATAAACTTATCTAACGCATTGAAAATATTTAAGTGTATCTAACATAAATTCACCGCGATTAGCAATGGCGGATTATATCTTTTAAGTATTATTTAGTAAATGTAGCTACGTGCGACTGGCACGTCAAAGGTATCCTTTCAACGCGGATTTAATTAGAATCCTGGAGGAGTTTCTATCGAGTTGTAATAGAAAGGCGGATGAATGGGGAAATCAGCGTCTGAAGTAAACCGAAGGTTATTTCTTCTCCGG